CCAGGTTCTCTCACATCCCCCCACCCCCATACACACACAAACTCACTCTCCTGCTGGTAATAGCTCATCCAAACTGACCACTCTCCAAGTTTAAATCCAAGTTAAACCAGAACATCTGGGGGGGGGGGGGTAGGAAAAAACAAGAGGAAACAGGCTACCTTGCATAATGACTTAGCCACTCCCAGTCTCTATTTAAGCCTAAATTAATAGTATCCAATTTGCAAATGAATTCCAATTCAGCAGTTTCTCGCTGGAGTCTGGATTTGAAGTTTTTTTGTTTTAAGATAGCGACCTTCATGTCTGTGATTGCGTGACCAGAGAGATTGAAGTGTTCTCCGACTGGTTTATGAATGTTATAATTCTTGACATCTGATTTGTGTCCATTTATTCTTTTACATAGAGACTGTCCAGTTTGACCAATGTACATGGCAGAGGGGCATTGCTGGCACATGATGGCATATATCACATTGGTGGATGTGCAGGTGAACGAGCCTCTGATAGTGTGGCTGATGTTATTAGGCCCTGTGATGGTGTCCCCTGAATAGATATGTGGGCACAATTGGCAACGGGCTTTGTTGCAAGGATAAGTTCCTGGGTTAGTGGTTCTGTTGTGTGGTATGTGGTTGTTGGTGAGTATTTGCTTCAGGTTGCGGGGCTGTCTGTAGGCAAGGACTGGCCTGTCTCCCAAGACTTGTGAGAGTGTTGGGTCATCCTTTAGGATAGGTTGTAGATCCTTAATAATGCGTTGGAGGGGTTTTAGTTGGGGGCTGAAGGTGACCGCTAGTGGCGTTCTGTTATTTTCTTTGTTAGGCCTGTCCTGTAGTAGGTAACTTCTGGGAACTCTTCTGGCTCTATCAATCTGTTTCTTTACTTCTGCAGGTGGGTATTGTAGTTGTAAGAAAGCTTGACGGAGATCTTGTAGGTGTTTGTCTCTGTCTGAGGGGTTGGAGCAAATGCGGTTGTATCGCAGAGCTTGGCTGTAGACGATGGATCGTGTGGGGTGGTCAGGGTGAAAGCTGGAGGCATGCAGGTAGGAATAGCGGTCAGTAGGTTTAAGTTGCTCAGATAAACCTATTACAGTCCACTCTTTTCGTGCATAATTTCTTAACAAATGAACTGCTTAAGTACTAGATACCAAAGGAGGCAACAGTTGCTGATACCAGGATTTCCTCTTTAGGGCAGGAAAAAAAATGGAAGCGTTTTACAGAGAGGAATGGCTTGGATCAAAAGGAGGAGAATTGCAATGGGATTACATTGGTGAACAGAGATGTCGCATAGGTAAATCAAGAGGATACTAACGGCTTTGACAGAAGCTCGGTTCAGCCTTCCTGTCTGAATTAGTGACAATTTCCAAAATGCCACCAGATTTTTACACTATCTCAACCTTCAAATCTTTACGGAGAAAATTTATAAAAATGGTGTCCAATGAAGTGACTTAATCAGTAAGGAAAGAAGTATCACACTGCCATCTGATATTGTAAATTTAGATGACTTTCACAGTATCAGTGTTTCAAGCTATCTTAAAATATTTTAAAAGTGGAAGCCCTGGAGTTTTTGCTTTTGACTTTCTTTCTACTATCCAGAGTCCATTCCTGTAGCTGTGTTGGTTATCTAGAAGATAGCTGAAGTACAGAATATCGCTGTCCATGTTGCTGGAGTTTAAAGGGATAGCTGTCTGATGCACAACAGAGTTAATGCTTGGCAATATGCTTTTACTGGAAATATCAAGTAAAATTATTAATGGAGAAAACTTTAACAGAGATTGGTGAATGATTTCTAGACAAGTGAACTCAGTTTTAGTAGCAAAAATTTAGTTGCTGTGAAGAATTTAAGGGTGTTTTGAACATATATTCAACATTATAATTAACAGAATTGCATATTTTCAACTGCTGAGTTGGTGCTGAGAGAGAACAGTGTGGGTTTGTTTTTTTGTTTTGTCTTTTTTGGGAGAGAGCTGGGCATAGAAGAGCGGTCCATAATACCGAGTCATACAAGGTGAAGACTATTGACTGGCTATATGAGGAAACACAGGGAGATCGGCGGCTTATAAGAAGTGATTTTTTTATATCTATAACTTTTACTGTATTTGAAAGAATAGAGAAAGGAGTAAACTTTTTCAGTTTATTTACCTCCCACATTTAAAAGCGATGTGTGTGTGCATTTCCTATGTATACTAGCAATTTCCTGACTGTGGGGGTGTTTTACCCAGCAACAGGGGAGGACAGGCAATGTGAATTTACTGCAAATAAATCTTTTCAGTCTAGACCAGAGATCGCTTGTGAACTTTTGATTACTATGTCCACATATGTTACAAAGCAGCTGAAACGCAGCATCACTATGTAAGCCTTGGAAATGCACCACTGCCTCAGTCAAGACACTGATGTTTTGTGCTCTAGAAAATTAACAGTTAAAAGAACCACACACAGATAGGATTAAACCCAAAGGATTCCTCGGCCACGAGAAGATTTATCTGAAGTCAGTCTTTCAAAATGATCCATTAATTTCAAATGATCCATTCTCACATGCTGTAAAATACTCTGGCCTAGAGTGTGTTTGGAAGAAGCAAACAGTCCTCCTAAAGAAGAGGGTGGAGGGAACAGTAGAGGAAAATAAGGAGGCAAGGGGAGAATGGCAGACTATAGAACTGGGCAAACAAACGCAGTATTTGAAGATGTCACAGGATTTGGGAAAAGGGATGTAGCGCTTGTCAGCTGGATCTTTTGCACATCTCCTTGTCGGAGGCTATACTTCTGCCCGAGATGTAGACAGATTTTGTTTTGTGAGCTCAGACTTGGAGGTTTTCCAACCTCTGGTAAGCATCTACAGCAGCAGTCTTGAACCTTCTGAAGAGGATTTCCATTGGTGCTTTGAAGCCCTTGTTTTTACCACCATAAGCAAGAAAGAATATGATTTCCTAAAGGATGTGACCTAATCAAGCTGGATTTGAAGGCTATGCAGATATCTAGACAGTGCCACCTGTGATCTCTTGAGGATGAGGTGGTCTAAGACAACAAAGAAGGAATATGTTCTGGTTAAGATGGCAGGGCAAAACCCTTGTAAATAATTCTGAATCTCTCTTGGGGGGCAGGGAAACTGTAGGAAGGGCTTTTTAATGGCATTAAGGCATTAAGTTCAATAGCTCATCTGGCAGTCACAGCAGCCAAAAAGGCAAGACTGAGGAAAAAGAATAAAGATGGTAGCCATTCATTCAAAGGTTTGGTCCTGACGGTGATTCAAGACTAAAAGTTAAGCTTACAGTTGCCAACAGGTATCTTAACAAGATGATAAAGTTTGGTAATTGTCTTCAGGAATCTGGTGATGCAAGCAAAAGATGCTGGGGACACACCATGTAAGAGATCCCAGGGAAACAACTTTGAATCAAGAGGTAGATGCTCAGTCCTTTGATAAATCCAGAAAAATTTTGAGGTAGGATTTGGTGCTCACATTATACTAGGTTCCCACCACCTTACAGATCCAATAATGAACTTGAGGTGGAGTCATTTCTGGCGAAAGAAAGAAATCCACCATGGCATCAAAATATCCCAACTTTTAGAATTCTACACTCAAGCTCCAAGCCATTAGCTGGATCTTGGCATTTCATTGAGCCTTGCATTAGGATTCCTTCTGAGAAAAGTAGCTCCCAAGAAGGGGAGACATCTCTTGGAGTCAAGGGAACCAGGGCCAGAGAGTCCTTAGGAGGCTATCAGGTTCACCCCAACCCTGCCCAGTCTAATCATCTTGCTGGAATCACCAAGAGGCAGAAGAGAAGGCAAGGAATACATCAGATCTTCTTCTTTCGCATGGCTTCGGTAGGTAGCAACAATTACAAATTTATATCTAAGTTTGATGGCCAGCACATTGCCGCAGCAGTGATCTGGTAAATGTCCTTCAGGCCCCTGGTGAAAGAACAAAGGGAACATTCAGATATGATGTGCTCTATTGTTTGTGCTTGGTGACCACAGTCACAGAGGTGTTTGCCTCATTTTCCACTTAATGTGGACAAACCCTCTTCTCCCATGAGATGTCCTGATGTGATTCAATAGGCACCAGTCTTTCCAACATGAGGAACCACCAGGTTTTGCTTTAACAGGATCAACGACTAGCTATTTGAGTGGTCGAAATGCTCCATGAGACTCTCCACTGAGCCTCAGCATCAAAGTTAGGTGTAAGGATCTTGATACAGTTCCATAGAGAGTTGCGGGATTTTAATCTCGTTTTTGGTGGATTCTGCAGGTCATGGTGCAGTGGGATCATCGTATTTGCATTGACATGATTAAGAAAGTGAGTTGTCTGAGCAGCTCTTCTAATCTGTGGAGGCTGGATGTGCAATAGGACTGGGAACCAGTCAACTGGAGTAGATTTGAGCATCCCTGACACTATGTGCATAGCATGACTGAGTTGAGTGTCAAGGAGTTCAGTGTGACTGCTATAAGATCACACTGGTGCACAATATTCAGCTGCAGAATATACCAAGGCAATTGTTGCAGTTCGTAAGGTCTGTGGACTGGAGCCCCATGATGTTCCAGCCAATTTTCTGATAAGCACGACACGAGACCTGACCTTATCGCAGGAGTTCGAGGTGTTGTCGAAAGGTCAAACTCCGGTCCAGTGTAACACCAAGATACTTTGGATTAGCTTTGTGGCGGATGCTCTCACGGCAGAACTGCACATCAAGTTTGGTATTAGCCATTTTATTGTTCAGATGGAAAGTAGTTACCGGGGGGGGAGGGGTGTGTGTGTGTGTGTTGGATTAAGCTTAAGTTTCCAGCATTGGAAATAATCAGCCGTTGTGCGAAGATCTCAGGTTAGGGTGCAGCTGATTGTATGGAGGCTTGTATGCTAAACAGCTAGGGCAATATCATCCGCATACATGAATTTCCTGACTCCATCGCTAGTATATCCATGGTGTATAGATTAAAAATTACTGGGCCCAGGACAGAGCTCTGAGGGATGCCCGAGTTAATGGCCAGATCAGTAGACCAAGAACTCTTAAGGTGTACCTTAAAGCGGCAGTTCCCAGTCATTGCTGCCAACAGGCAGATCGTTCGCTGGCAGTGAATGACGCGGGAGACCTTGAGGAGGCGGACCTGTCTCCAGACAGTGTCATATGCAGAGGACAGATCAACAAGGGTGATTCCTGTCTTCAGTTTACGTTGGAATCCTGACATTCGGAATAGTTGAATGAGAAGGCATCGGTCCTCCACACCCATTTCTTCCAGTGCCTGGAACAGACAAGATCCAAGGCCTTTGTTTTTGCAGAAGGAAAATAAGAATTTAGCAAGCGTCCCATCTGATAACACTTGGTGGAGAACCCTACTGTTCAATTCCCATTTCCTTGAGGAAAGGTTGTAAGGGTTGAGTCAATGGGCTTGTGTGTTGAGCTTGCCCCGACAGACTGCTGTAATGCAGAGTTGTTTCTTCTCTGCCCAAAGGAGGATTCTGGAGGATGCCTCCTATACAGAAGAGCATCAGGTCCCATCTGCCTGTCTACATAAGCCTTCGCATTCCTGTTGTCTCACCATTAGGAAGGCAGATGAGGTTAAGAGAGGAGAAAGGCATCTGAAGGCATTCCCAATGGCTCAATTCAGGCAACTGATGTTCTTTGTGCCTTCTGTTGAACCATCTCTCTTGGCAAGAGTATGACAGCATGAGGGCTCCCCAAACCCTGAGAGGCATCCATACCAATTCTGATCATGGCTGGGCCCAACAGAAGCTTTATCTAAGAGCTAATCTACACTAGAAGAACTACAGCGGTGCAGTTGCACTGCTGTGGCACATCTGGTGAAGATGCTCTATGAAGAGTTCTCTCCCATCAGTGTAAATAAATCCATTTCCGCAAGAAGCAGTAGCTATGTCGGTGGGAGAAGCTCTCCCCCTGACATAGTGCTATCCACACTGACACTCAGGTCAGTGTAACTTACATCATTCAGAGGGATAGCTTATTCACACCACTTATTGATGTAAGTAAGTGGTAGTATAGACCTGGCCTCAGTGAGGCTCTTAAACCTGTAGTAGCTGTGCAGATGTGCTAATGAATGGCCTTAAGCCAGGACAAAAAGAGGGTTTGAAGATGGAAATAGAGGACATAACTCCTCCTCAAAATACTGTGATGCTATATTTTATCCACAGGGTGCCTGAGAAAATAGTACCCTCTATTGGGGAGCGGGGGTGGGGGTGGGGGGAAGAGGAAAGAATCTTTTTAAAAAAGGATGGTATTTGGTGCTGTCCTCTTAGGGACAGCACCAAACTTTTACTGCTTTTTCTTCAGGAGAAGATAAAGGGAAGCATAAACCTTAGGAATGGATCTTTCTATACACTACCTCCTCCAAGGAACAAAGCACCTAAGACACAAGCTATGTCATGCTGAACAGGTTTCCCTTGGGATACCTTAGCAGGGGAAGCACCTCCCTGGGTTTTCCCCTCTTATCCTAGCAAAACCTCACAGCCTTTCAGAATCCAGAATGTTTGACACCAGGGATACTGATGCATTTATCCTGAATCACTCTGGGAGGAAGCAGAGTTCCTCTTAGAGGTTTTTTTTTTTTTTTTTTTTTTTTAAAAAGCTATATTGGTCGCCTTATTTTATTAGAAGGGGACCCAAAGGAGGACCAAGGCAAATCCCAGGATCCTCTGCAGTGCTGGGGGAAGAGGCAGCTGGCTGGTCACTAGAACTGTGGCAGTGGGCTCTCTCCAAGTATAATCCCCACAGTAATTATAAGGAACAGTTTAGTGACTAATGTAACTTCCCAAACATCTCATCTGGGAACACAAGTCTATGGGTGTTCCATAGAAGGAACACCCTAGAAGGCAACCCCCAGTGGGCCAGCTATTACCAGTGTTGAATGCCATGTGGCTGAAGGCGAATGACGAAGAGGATGGGGTACGAGAGTTCAATAGCTTGGGATATTCAAAGGGTTAGGGTGGATCCCCTTTAGCCAGTATCAGTCATATGCCCACAGGCCCTTTTTCCATGTCCATCCCTCCATAAAGCGGAGTTGCTGAGAGAAGGTGTTTCCTGTGGCACAGAACTAAAACTGGAACTGTGATTCAGTTCCAGGGCTTACACAGGAGGGAGAAGTTAGGCTGCAGAAGTAGCTGAAGCGCTGGTGCCAATGTGGTAACACAAGTCAGTCCCCTGACAAAAGGATTCTACTGAGTAAAATATGATGGTAAAATGACAACTTGGTAGGTCCCAACACCCAAATTCAGTAAGGTACTTAAGCACCTATATAATCACATAAGCAGTCCAATGGGGGCAGGTGTAGGCCTCTAAAGTTAATTCTCACCTGAGATGTTCAATTTTTAGTACAAATGGGCTATCCTGGGGCAAAGATAAATCTCTCAGAACTTTTTCCAGAAATAGTATTTAGATACACAAGATTTAGTTTAAAATAAGATTTGTTCCATAATCTGATGGTCTGAAACACAGCAATTCAGTATAATTATTTCTGCTTAAAATGAAGTTTACCTAGATTTTCTGATGCAAACCTAGATTTACCAGATAAATACCTGTATTAGCTTAGCTTTCCCCCCACACACACATAGTAACAAATACTTGTGTCCATGCCCATATTCCACCCAGAGTTGAGTCTAACTGAATTGAGCCAAAGCTTCAGTTGATATAAATTGGTAGAGATTCATTGACTTCAGTGATTCTATCACTTTACACCAGCTGAGGATCTGGCCCTTAATCTCAGTTTTTTGTACGATAAATAAAACAGCATTTACATTCATATAGAGCTGTCTGAAAATGTTACCAAAATGATTTTCCAATGAAAAAAAAAACACCCTTTTTGCAAAACCAAAATTTTCTGAGAGAAATTTTCAGTTTTGCAAAAAAAATTGTGTTCCATCAGGACAAAACATTTGAAAAAAAATTAACTTTTTCATGGGAAGGGACTTCTGTTTTCCAGTCAGCTCTAAGTTTGTACGCTTAATTTAAAGTCATGTAGCTATAATGCATTAAAAAGGAGTAACTTCACAAAGTTTCTGTGAAGTCTGCTTAATCCCAATGAATGTGTTTTACATCAGCCAGCTGAATGGCTGTGGTCAGCATATCACGTACAACAATGCCCTATCTTCAGGAAGATGAATTTGCAGGTTTATTCTTAACGTTTCTGTAAACTTTTAGAGAAGTAGACCCAAAGATCAGTTAGCTAAAGGAGAAAGTTTGTAGCCATTGTTGGGCCATATAGAAAGAGGGCCTTTCTTTTCAGTACAAAATTTTATAAAGGATTGGTCTATAGTTTTACAGGTACCTGCTAAAATATATTAATCTTAAAGAGGAAAGATTAAACACTGAGGATCTGAACCATCATTTTTGCTTCATCATTTTGTCAAGACACTCTTGCATTAAGACAGGTTTCAGAGGAACAGCCGTGTTAGTCTGTATTCGCAAAAAGAAAAGGAGTACTTGTGGCACCTTAGAGACTAACCAATTTATTTGAGCATTATATGCTCAAATAAATTGGTTAGTCTCTAAGGTGCCACAAGTACTCCTTTTCTTCTTGCATTAAGATTTTTTCTGCAAAAACATACATGCAAGGAAAAAAATTAGATTTATCCAAAAAATGTATTTTAAGAGTTGATACTAATGAACAAATAAATTCATTTCCAGTCACCCACTAGTAGAGACTTAGAACCTGTGTACATGATGTATTAGTCTGCACCAGAGGACTGCAAGTGTGCACTAGCATGTTGCACAATAACTGGCTCACATGGAACCTGTGGGTGAGCACTAAAAGTTCCTTAGTGTGCATTAAGTTTCATCTAATGTATTTGCTACACTCAGGAATAGCTTTGTCAAAAATTTTGCTTAGCCATTCAGCTTTTGCAAGATATTGGACAAAAAAAAGTTAACTTCAAATGTCGTTCTTCCAAAAACAGCTGTGCTGAAATTCATTGACTTCTTTTCACCCATTCCCATTTTCCCAGAACTTGTTCAGTCTTAGTTACAAGTTTAACTAGTCAGCCGTTCCTTAGATACTCCTAACATTTTTGCAAAATATACCTGTTCCAAGGATTCTGGAAGTAATTCACCTTCCCTTAAAGAAGGTTGAGGGCATAAGCAGGTTGACTGTATCTATTTAAACATAACATTCTTTAATGCAGGGTATTGATTTTAACTTTATTTTTAAGTGAGTTTAGTGCATGCTAAAGGTGCTGGACTGATGGCCCTAGAGACTGAAGTCCTTTATCTACAGTACAGACAGCAGTGCAAGATTCTCCACTATATTATAATCCTCAAGGGATGGGTCCTAAAAAGGTTGAGCCTTTTAAGGTTGTGTTTACTAGAGTAGTTTGTACACGTTACGAAAACACTAACTGCATCATGGTAAGTAAGTGGTGTGATTATTTAATAGAAAGAACACTAGAATAGGTTGCATTGCTCTACAACTTTAAGATTTCAGCTGACTGTATTAAACTTGTTTATTTGGAAAGTGTATATTAGCAGTATTTAAAAAAAAAAAGCAAAGATGATTATCTATCTAAACACTCATGGTGCAAAAGAGCCACAGGCATATCTCCATAATGTTATGAGATGACACAAATGAACTATACCAGTAAGAGTCCTAGTTATACAAGCCTTTTGTGTTTAAAATCCTCCAGAATCTTTATAGTTAACAGAAAATTACTAAAATCTTTATATTAAGGAAGTCTGTCAGGAATTTCATCGGTTCAAAGTTGTGGCAATTTTTAAAACAAAGAAATCTGTTAACTGACATTAAGCAAGCATCCTTTTTTTTTAGCAATCTCAGTAATACTTCCACTTAAAGACCTTTCCTCTCAACGGTAAATACCACAAAGTACAGTTTAGTTTAATTTATTTCACCTTAAAAAGCATGCAAATAAAGAATTGAAGTTATTGTAATGCTAACAAGAGCTTCTAATGCAGTGTAACATTTTCAACACATGATTAACTATTGCTTATTATACACCTTTCCTAAAAGCTCATGAGAATTAGGAAAAACGCAGGTAACGTTTTTGGGTCATTTTAACATTAATAAAAAGATTGACAAAATGTTGATACCTTATTTTTAACCAATATTCACTAAATAAACTGGAATGTAATTTTTACAGTGTTAGGTGAAAAAAATATTACTGTGGAAAAAGTTAAATCTTTAAACTGCAATAGGTCCTCATAATCAGCACGAACTGCTATGCTGTTACAAGATACAAGATATAAATGAGCAAGATGACAGCCTTTTTTTCATCACTTACCTCATCATTCAGCTCTGCTATCTGATCTTTCAGTTCTCTAATATACTGGTTAGAGTCAGAGTTATTAAGCTGCCCTTGAATTTTTCTTTCTTCTTTCTGTTTTTTATAAAGAAAAAAAGAAAGAAAGCTTGTTCAAAATCTTCATGCTTATAATACAGTCTTATTTCAGGAGACTGACAATCAGGGGTTTAAGACAGAGCTTTTCACTTCTAGATCATGGATTTAAATCTCACCTAGAGTAGCAGTAACTGAAAAATGTCACCATCTGAAGACGGTACAATGGCCTTTGTGAAATGAGTTAGTTGTCAGAGTTTCTCGTGATCAGCAACTCCCCCCCCCACACACACACACAGCGCACCATAACCTATTCTCTGCAGAGAATAATAAGGGTCTGAAGGCTTAATTAGCATACACTGAATTAGTCCCCTCAGTATAGGGTTGCGGCACACAGGCAGAGCTCTGTGGAGAAGTTTGAAGAGTTAAAGCTTAGTGTGTGGAAGCCAGCATATAACCAAAATAAGTCCATGAACAAAAGGTTCATGTAAGTGTGATCTCTCTCTTCAATGCAACTTCTTAAAAAGTAAAGAATATCAAGTTTGGGACACTTGTTAGCTGTACCTTAATGCTAATACAACAGTTTTCCACTGATATTGAAAGTTCTGCATTATCATAAGGAACTTCCTTCTGCCTTCAAATGACAAGGAAATGTAACCTGGCATATCCCTGCTTTTTTGGATGTGTCTAGAGGATATCACACTTGTCACACCTTAATCACTTTTAAATGAAGTTTCTGACTATGGAATTTCATTGTTGAAGTGTAGGAGGGCTTCAGGGAGTATGAAGGGGACAGGGATGCCCTCAACCCCTATGGTATATAGGGGTATGGAGGTGTTTGAAGTGGAGAAGTCAAAAAACCAAGTATGTATGGGAGAGGGTTGGTAGGTCTCTACACTCCAACTCCCTTTTGATAGTGCCTGCATCCTGGGGTGGGAGGAACCTGTCAATTGTCACATTTACTCCATAGACCGCTACAGCTCCTAAAAACAAAGGAGTGTTGATGTTTCGGAGGCCTGAGAGCTCGCAGGACTAGAGCTCGTAGTTTCTCTCCAGAAGAGTTCCTTCCCCACTGCTTTCCAACTGAGCCAAACCTATAACCTCATGGGATATAAATAGGGTGGAGCAATTTAAATATATTTTTTTTTTAGTTATTGAATTAAATTAGGTTGAGACTGTCAAAATAATTTGAAATTTGCTATTGCAACTTTAGATTATACCTTTATAATGAACTAAACTATGAATGCTTTTTATTAACACACTACTGGTAGCATCTTATTTGATTTTTACTAACCTACTATAGGGAAAAAACAAACATTGAAAATTACTTCCCTGATTCTGAAAATTTAAAGAAGGAATCTTACTTACCTTAGTAGTCATGTGTTTAAAGTTAAGCATGTACACAAAATGTTTACAGCATATAGCATTAGAGCTATTAAAAACTTTTTAGTGGCATAAAATCACTTCAAAGCAAAACTGCTCCTAGCTATTTAGTTGATTATTTTTACACACAGGCCAAATTCTTCAAAAATAGAAGCCTAATTCTAGGCTCATAACCCAATATTTAGGCACCAAAAAGTGTGATTTTCAAAAGGACCTAAGTGACTCTGGAGCATAAGTCCCACTGACTTCAAACCTGGATGGAGGAGTATAGCCTAGCTGAAAATGCAGCTTTCTTGACTTGTGGAAACTATCAGTATGTGATGTTGGTTCCAAATATAGTGGTGGCCACTTGCTTATTAATTTTATATTTGAATCTGTGTTCTCGCAATGAGAATGTTAACAGCGCCTTGGATTTATCTCTCTTTTTTTTTTTAAGCATAGATGAGCATTTTAAGTGTGAAGTTTTTTGGTAGAATTTTAGGCTTTACATCAGGGGTGGGCAAAGTATGGCCCGCGGCCCGGAGCCGTTTTAAGCCAGCCTGTGAGCTGCACCACGCGGTCCGGCCCTGCTCTGGCCAGGGCGCTGGATTGGGGGCTGCACCACGTGGCTCCCAGAAGCCGTGGCATGGCCATGTGCCAATAGGAGCTGCAGGGACGGTGCCTGTGGATGGGGCAGCATGCAGAGCCACGTGGCCGCGCCTCCACACAGGAGCTGGAGAAGGAACATGCTGCTACTTCCAGAAGCCACTTGAGGTAAGTGCCCTCGGAGCCTGCACCCCAAGACTCTATTAAATATTAAATATTTTTAAATATGAAATACAATTTAATATTAAAAACCACAATATACACAAATACCAGGCTAGTAAGATGAAGGTCAGGGTCCTGAGCTCACATCCATGTACTTTCTTCCAAACCTCTTTATGGCACGAGTTAAGGAAGGAGTCTCACGATACACTGAATTTTAGCTTCCATCACTTTCTGTCTACAATACTGATAGATGCAATTTCTGTACTTAATTATATAACACCTGTAAAGTATCTACTACAGAATATATTACTAGACTAATGACTAATCCATATACAGTATGTATCTACCCACAGAATGAACAGCCACGGAGCCAGAAAATGAGATGAAGACAGCTCCTCTAGTCTTTCCTGAATTAGTGCAGGGCTGTTTGAGGTTTAATGCTTTGGCCAGTCTAGTTTTAGAAGCAACCCAAAGGGCAAAAAAAAACAACACCCACAAATAAAACTGGCTGTCCCTTTTATGGCAGCTTTAAAGTGTTCCTGCTATTTCTAATATAAGTAAGCAGAAGTTTCAAAATTTTACTTTCCTCCTTTGTTGGAGGACTGATGCATCAAAGTGGAAGGAGTAAATAAATAGGTTGAAAGGTGGGAAAGAAACAGCCCAATAACATCACTCACTCCCACTACAGATCAAGAATAGAATCCATTAGAATCAGCCCAGTGTATTTCTAGAGTAATTCCTTGTAATAGAAGAAATTTGTTTTTCTGTACTCAACAGAAATGACGATAATCTAGTGTATATTTAAACCATGACAATATTATATGGAAACTAAATGAGGGCTCTGTTTCGAAAAACGGCTGTGTGAACATGGCACCTTATTCAACAAATCTGCTTACTTCAGTAACTAAGGTGAGTTTTTGTTGATTTTTACTCCTGCGAACATTGCAGAGCAAACTCAGCTATGACAGAATTAGCTGATTCCATTCCTTTATGGGCAGGATTATTTATTGAATTCCAGCCAGTTACACCTGTACACAGCTCTCACTGAGGGTATAATTTTGCCTGCAGAACCTTCATTATTGGTGATGCAAGGGAAGGAAAGATGCCAGTTTATCTTTCAGATTTCATGGTGTCTGTAGAACTGGCAACTAGAAAAATATTCATACACCAAATACATATGATGTGGAAGTAGCTGACCTTGTGGGGTTCCCTGTGTGCCATTTTCAAGTGTCACTTCTCAGAGAAAAATGATGCAACTTCCCCTTGCAACACAAAGCACTAGAAGTTTGATGTTGTTGCTCTTAGTGGCTGTACTAAGTAACAGATTAAGTCTAGCTTCAATAGTTTATAAATTGCAAGGACATAGGGAAGGAAAAACAAAGCTGCTGTTAGGACAAGGTACTAGGGCCTTCATGACTGCTGATGTTATCTCTAACTAGTGAGAGAGTTACTTTCATTAGAGTTCTTAGTCACGTAAGGTACCACTAGGCTAACATCACTGGAAAAAATACAGCGATGTATTTAAACATTTTAAAAATAAAATTTACCAAAATTTACCAATATTAGGGCTGACAGTTTACATCACCAACGTAACTATTTAAAGTTATACAAAGTACTACCAACTCGTTGGAAAACATTTTAGGCATTACGTAAGAAGTTAGTGTCATGATCAGTCTAAACTAAAATTCTTACCAAAATTATCTTGCCTTAAAAAGACAGTAATAATCTAGTCTAACCAATGAATCAGTGGCATAAACACAATTTTATACTTCATAAACAAACAAGTAAATATCTGATTTATAGTTTGGTGTGATTATAAAAGCCTCTTACTCAAATTATTTTCTCAAAACTGATGAGAGCTCACTAATGCATTTTACGCAGAAAATAAATTTAAGTTTTTAACTTCATAAAATGGATAAATTGCTTTTCCCCATTCAGATATATTTTAAGTATTTTTTCTTTCACTTATGTTGATCTCAATTATTTTCTAGCAATTCCCATATGGTAGCTTCTGATAAGCAGGAGGGGGTGGGGAATGCAACTAATATTTATGAGGGACCCGATTTAAGGTTCTTTTTCAGACTTGCAGTTAACAGGCTTCCTATTTTAAGGCATAGTGCAAAACTAAAGGAAAAGCTGAACAGAAGACAAAGGTTCTTAGTATATCTGCGATTAGGATGAGATGGAGCTTTTGCATTTTAAGATATGATTTGAGCACACATTGATTTGTTAAACCTAATAAAATGTGTCCTATTTAAATCTTAGATTTCATGAGAGAAAATGAATCATTTACACAGATGCCCGTAACTGACCAGGATTGTGCAACTGTCCTTACAACTTTACAGTACCATGTTAAATTCTGTATACATTCTGGACCTCAACAAGGACAAGCCAGTACAGATAGTCCATGACTATGTCAAACTGCTTAAAAGTTTACAACAGCCTATATCTACCAAAGATTTTTCCCTTCCTTTCCATTTCCTCAGAAAAGTCAAAATTATCTGAATTATCTTCTGTTCTGACGATACAATACCTTGATATATACGCTCGCCTGCTATCCTGATGTGGGGAAAACTTTTAGTTTAGGAAGTTCCTACTGCCATTGCAGAAACCGAAGTAAGGCCTAATTTTTTCACGAACTTGTCCTTTAGCATCAGCAAGTTTCCAAGGAAGATCATCCATAAATGGTTCAATTGTTTCCACAACTGTGCCGTTTCAGTTGGGGCTTTAACACAACATTAGATTATAAAGCACAACCTTAACTATAGTTTTGTGACCACTCCACCATAGTGTCTTCACATTTGACATTCCCCCTTCCCCCCATCTCTTATGAAATTATACCATACAGATTTGTATCTTGAGAAAACACTAACCATAGCAAAGTTAAAACCCATCAGACATTGTGTCCAGGC